CAGCTCCTGTTAATCATCAAAAATGTATTAAACACCTTCCACAGCTCCATTTCCCTCCTGTTTGCAGTATTGCTTCGTCTCCTGATTAGTGGTTTTCTACACTAAGTATGCTTCATAAAGACGCTCGACCTTACTGCAGTCCATGGTAGCAAAACCTGCTCAGGCACAGGGGAAACAGCACTTGTACGAATAAGTAAATAAAGCCTGAGTGCTTACACAGTGACGCTGTTCAGGTTCCAGTCATTTACTTGAATGTGGATATTGATCCCTACAGACACAGACGGGGAGATTTCTCGCGTGACTAAATAAAGAGCTACCGTACCGGCAAATCTCTGTTATACAGCGATTGCTCGATTGGGTTTTGCTTTGATGTTTTGAGTTTTCTCTGTTGTAACACGCGCTGGGAGGAGTTGCTCAATGGGGAAGTGGAGCGCCTTCGAGCCCTATATGGCGAGATGCCGGGTTCACCACACCCTAAAATGTACTTGCAGCATCAGGGAGAAAGCAGACCTCGGCAGGAGGGTGAACTCAGTAAAAGTGATGCACACCCGCTTGTTCAATCTTGGAGCGCAATCCCTGGAATGTGACTGTCAGGCAAGTCGGGGCAGTGACTGGCCTGCTAGCTAAACGCCCATCCATGCAGCTAGCATCCCCGAAAGCTAATTGAAGTGTGCGGATGAATCTGAGCCTTACGGGCACACTGCACAGGCCACCGCGGCACTTTCATTCAGCACGCCGTGTAGGCTAACGGGCGGGCTAGCTAATCTCGTAAAGGATATTGTCTGATGAGCGAGTCCACCTCTGCCTCGTCAGGACCCAGCTGATTTTCTCCTCCGTCCTCCTCGTCCACAAATTTGTTCTCGTCGTATTCGTCCACGTCCACTCGCCTGAAGCGGGCGGACACGGTATTCTTCGACATGTCTGCGGCGATTCGGGTGATTTATATTAAAACGAAAATCAGAAGCGTTCGCGCGCAAATCCTTTTTTAAAAGAATTATTTCTGCAGTGCTTTTTTCTGATGTGGGCTGTCACTGGCAGACAGGCGGCTTCCGGGCCTCCCCCTTCTTTCCTCCCTCGCCGTTACTTTGACTTCCGCTGACTCAATGCCGCCCCGTGGCTGCAGTTTCTGTTCTCACCGCCAGAGGGAACTCAAACCAAAGAAATAGTACCGCGGTCAATAAAACTAAGCAGGCTATGTTAGATAAGATTTTCAATTTTAATTAATATTTAATTAATTTGCATCAGTTTTTGTCACAATGTATTATGACACTGCAAAATAAAATGAAATTCTGCAGCTATTTATTTTATTTTGAGCAGTGGAATAGTCATAATTTCTAAGTCAGTAAGCTGCAAAGTCATCACTATCATCATTAATATTCTACGTTTGGACTAAACCAAACTCATTTTGATAGATGAAACACATTTGTCTGACAGCCAAAGATAAATACATCTGATATCAGGTACTTTTTTTGAATAAAAGAATTGTAGTTGACACAACCCCGGGGACAGTTGTAACCGTCCCTCGTTGCAGCTGTCCCCAGTCTCCCCTATAAACTTATCCACAGTTTACCAGTGTTTACAGCCCTGATTTTATTGTGTTTATTTTTATTCAAGGGCGTAGATTTGGCATGGACGGAAGGGACGTGTCCCCACCAATAATATGATCTCTTCGAGTAAAGAAAAACAAACCTGATAGTAAGAAAAAACGACCTGTCAGCGTCTCATTCAGCGAGCGGAGGAGAAAGAGTTAAATTACGTTCTCTACTGGAGTCCTACGTCATGTGACAAATATGCCCAATGTGATTGGCTGAGCCTTTCAGGGAGCTCTGTTTAGTTTTAGCAGCGGCAAACCTTCGCTGCTTGGAGGAGAGGAGGATGGCGGCGCAAAGGAAGAACCTGGATATAAGAAATTGTTTTTCAAAGAAACCTGTAAGTCACTTAAAGTCAAGTTCAATCACATAACGTGTCCGTCACAATAACGTTACAGGCTATGCTAGGCCATACATGCCAACACTCACGATTTTTCCGGGGAATCCCGAATTTCAGTGCCCCTCCCGAAAATCTC